GGGGGGGGGGGGAAAGCCAGCTTTTTAACATTAGGAAACACTAGTTTTCTGGACTTGCTGGCGATCCTGACATTCAGAGGTCGCCTCGAGAAGAGATTACAAGCTCAGTGATTGCCAAAATTTCAATACTTTTGAGATGTCTTTGTTGTTTACTGAGTATCGCCGCCATCTCCTTCCGACGATTTTTATCAATTATGTGTTATTTTCAGCAACCATCGCCATTAGCGAATGGCAGTTATAGCAACCCGGGATCAGTTGGCGCACAAGGAGCAGGCGGGAAAGGAAAGGTTGTGCCAGGAAGGGCCGATTCCCGAGATGTCGTTTTCTCACCAGCTGCTGCTGGACAGGGTGGGCCGCCACCGCAAATGCCTCCAGCAGTTACCGGAGGAGCAGGACCGCTACCCGGTGGTATTCGAATGGACGTGCAACCAAATGTACCGTCAAGTTCGGCACAGGGTAAATCATTTTGTCCAAGATTCATTTTCCTCAAAAAAAATTCACCTGTTGATGAAGCAAAAATGCGTTTTTTGTAAGTCCGGTTGTGCATAACACGTATGAGGACTTTGTACTTACCCATGCTAAACGTACTTCACATTGACCAGCAGTTGTTTCATCATCGCATTTCTTCTCACCATTGATGCAGCTGCTGGCAACTTCTCCATCCTTCTCTGTTTTGAGCCTCTCTCATCCGCATAATTCCATGTAGCCGTTCAAGCATTCTGCACGTACTAGGTGCAAAAAAAAAAAATGTACACGAAGGTAGTTAGCGCAATACAGTTGCATTAAAGATGCATTTATCATTAAATATAGTCATACGAAAACGAATTTGATGCAAACTTGGCCTTAAAAAAGTGGCTGGCCTAAATACTTTTGTGCAAATCGGGCTTAAATGTGTGCACTTCTGGCTCACTGGGACGTAAGGTTTTCTCGCAATAGCAGCATCATGTGCTGGGCCAGGTGAATGCATTCCTGTTACTGTAATCGATAACTCACAAGTTGAGGTCAAGGGAGGGAGGGAAGGACTCAGCTATACTTGCCATAAATGGTGAACTTTGGATGAGTAGGTGGGGCTATCCAATCCGAACAGAGCCGATCTGATGCGCATATAAAAGTATAGGGAGAAGTTCAGTTTCATCAGTATCTGCTACTTCAAGAACAGCAGTTATTCAGGAGGGGTAGCAGTTACTTTACTG